GGATAAAAAAAATTGAATTTAAATATAATTATAATATATATATATATATAATTCTAATAACACAAAAATGTAGTCACTGCTATTTCCATATCTGCTATTTCCATATTGGATTTAAAAAAATTGAATTTAAATATAATTCAGTATTTTATTACTCCGTTTCATATTCAGGTAAGGTTATTTATTTTGGGATATGGTGTTGTAGCCGGCGTCTGAAAGAGTCTTCCGTGCTTTGTGTAAGTTTATCTGAACGTAAACTACCGTTTCCTGAATTACTAGTAACACAATTCACACGTACGTTTCGTCAATTTATATGCTTGTTTTAGTTCAACCATTTGCCCGGTGACTTCAACATTGCTTCCTTTTGATGTCAACGTTTTTTCTCATTTTCTCTTATTTACGAACATTTTACTACATAATCCTTAAGTTGACTCTATCTATATTCATGTTATTTAACAATTGACAAGAATACAATTTTCTCATGACATTCAATTGTAAACTTACCTAATTATTTAATTATCCATGGAATTAAATGTTTCATCTTTCAGCTCATGACAGAGGCCTATATCTTTAAATTTATTGGAAGTGGGCTGGACTCCGGCCTAATGGGCGTTCCTGATGCTCATATTCATTAATATCTATTTATACAGTTCACTTTATATCTTGCACGTGCGTGTTAAGAGCATCGAATGAATTCAGTCAGTCAATGAATATTATATCATGAACAAAATGTTTGTATGAAGATATAGTTATAGTATTATGTTTACTGTATTCATCCTAATAAAATTGAGTAATTTTGAAAGTAAACTAGAACACTATTTATCCATTGATTAAAATGTTGAGATAGTATGATACATACTCAAAGTATCGAAATACACACTACCGTATCGTGTCGGGATTCAATATTTCGATATTAATGATTATGTCATCATTCCTGATGATGACATACAAAATGTAAAATCAAAGAATTTTTATTTATATTTATACTTTATAAATATATGACTTGTTAATGTATAAACTATTATTTCTAATTTTGTATATTTAATTTAATACGGTATTTAATTATAAATTTTAAAAGAATATAAAATTCAATAATTCATTTAAAATGTTAAACCAATTGAATTGGTAAAGCAGATTTAGTACAAAATGTAAAATTAAAGAATTTTATTTATCTTTATACTTCATAAATATATGACTTGTTAATGTATAAACTATAAATATTTATTTCAAATTTTGTATATTTAATTTAATATTTAATTATAAATAATAAAAAAAAAACATATAATTCCAAAATTCATTCAGTTTCATAAAATATATAATTTGTTCTATTATATAAATATTCAAATCTAATTTAATCACGTATAACTAATTTAATATTTAAGTTTTTATTAGCATCAACATGTATAAATTATAGACTTAATATAATAATGCAGTGCTTTATTTATTTATATTTACTGTATCTGTCGTTTTATGTGATTTGTTAGTAGTTATTAGTTAGAGGACACATTATTTGTTGGTGGCAGTGGTTTAGGCTGCTTGTGTGCTTTCCTGGCCGGCAGCTAATGACTGGCCAAAAAAAATTTAATGTACTAGTTAATGTTATGTTCGTTTGACTTACAGTATTGATTTGTATTATATTTTGTATATTGTATCGTTTGCCTAAAGGGCAAAAAAATAATTGTAAAAAGAAAAATAATTGTTGTATTGTATTGTTGATATATTATTTTTATACGTAAATATATAGTATCGGCGAGGTTTAAAAGTATGAGAGTGCAATTTCTGGGCACATTGAGGTCCATATTCTAAAAATATTCTCACCTCAGCCCCGACCATGTTAGCCTGCGTGCAGTAGAAAATTAGTAGGAAAAAAGTAAAGGAAAATTTTGGTTTTTCTAAATTAGTATATCATATATTCCCATTCCTTTTTTTTTTGGTTGGTGGCGCTATTTGTGGTCAGACCAGTTTTGTGAATGTTGGTTTGACCACCCCCTCAAGTCCCGCCCATATGTTTTGAAGAGTTGGTTATGATGACCTTGGGTGGACAAACTTGCTAATGCTCTAGTCCTAAGGTTCTAGGTAATTCAAAGCTTGGGAATTTTTTTTATATTTATTTATTTTGGCCTAAAATGCCCTATTTTAGATTAATTATTTAAAAATTACTGTACATTATCCATTACCATTAATATAACGCACGTCGAATCGCGCGGTCGGTTAAGCATGTGTTCTTAAGATCATGGGTTCAAATCGCTTAGAGGTATTCAACATTTTTTCCCAATTTTAAGAATATATTTTTGTTCAATTGTATGTATCTTTTTTATTTTTTTTTTGTACAAATAAACTTTCTATTTATCTATGTGTTCTTAAGACCTTAAGGTCATGGGTTCAAATCGCTTATAGATATTCAATATTTTTTTCCAATTTTAAGAATATATTTTTGTTCAATTGTATGTATCTTTTTTATTTATTTATTTTTTTGTACAAATAAACTTTCTATTTTTATTTAATAATTTCTATCTTATTAGCTCTTCAACGTGCGGACAGTGTGAGCGGTCGCTCTTGTTCTACAACCACAGGTGGCGCTTCGCAAGTAAACAACAACACATGGAAGTTGCCTGAAACACAGACCTGAACATTTTTACCTAAAAAATGTAAGTAAATGTAGGCCTACGTGTAAAATATTGTCTTAATTAGTTAAAACAAATCTGATTTTGCTGACAATAGTGTTTAGTCGTACACTTTATGTGTGGAGTAAGTCTGGACTGATTAAATTTGATGTCGCTTTTTAGGCCTAGCCGGTCAGGGTAGCTAGGCCCTTCCTAGTCTAGGTGATGCATGCACAATACAGTACTGTACAGTACGCTCGCTTATTGTTAAATGGTGGTTCAGTTCAGAATTACAGAACAAAACATCATTTAGATTAGAGAAAGAAGGTAGGCCTAGCTAGGCTATTTGAACTTGAATGAATTTATTCTGCACAGGTTTTTGTCTTAAAATAATTATATATATATATAGGCCTATGCCATGCTATATTTCTATAATTATAACATATAATATAATATTGTTCTCAGTGGTTGAATTATTACAGTATGATGGTGTTAACACGATCTTATTTCTTATATTTTTATTTTGTTTTGGTAGTTCAAATGTTGAGCAACTATAAAGTTGGCCTGGTCGTCTGCGCATTTCTCTTCATGTAATACTGTTTGGCTTATATGCAATATAAACAAAGCACTGTATGTTTAAATTAGCATGTTAAAGTACTGTTCAATCACTGTAAGTGTACATGTTGTGTGTGCTTGTGTTTAGTGGAAGTACTGTAGGCCTGCTCTATTATTAATTGTGCATGCATTACCAGCATTCCATAAGCCTTTATTTATTGGCAGCCATTCTGGCTGACAGCTGCTTCCATCCTATTCCATATTCCACTCCCATTGTATCACATTCCAGGTGATTCCAGGAGTTCAATATGATGATTATTTCAGGCTCTGGGGTTAGGAGCAGCTTGATATTCATTTCATTTCATTTTTTTTTATTTATTTCATCCAACAAATACAAAGCGAATAGAAACAATATCAAAAATCAGAGACAGGATTAACAAAAAGCAAACTAAATTGCTGTACAAAATTTCTCCACTGATTATACATAAAATAAATATATAAATATCTGTTCTGGAAGTAAAATCAAGCAAATTACAGCCAAGGCCAATAGAAAAAGTTAATAATTAAATCTGATCACAGAAATTTAATGGTAAATGCTTGGTACACAACTTTCACTTTTTTATTAACACATTTCTCAATTTAAAATCTACTCAATTTGTCTTAAATTCATAACAAATTCAGGCAGTGCAGTTGAATAACTTGGCTTTGCTTTACCCTCTCCTTAAAAATAAATCTCGCTATCTTAAGGCAGTGCATCTTGGCGAAAGCATGGCCACTTAAATGTTTTTATAATTAGGTTGAGTGTGCATTTTTAACAAGTTTGGTTTCAATTGAATTTATGTTATTTTTAATAGACATTAAAAGCTACAGTATCTTGGAGATAATTTAAACAGATCTATCAGAAGTAAATGTAGCCCCAAGATTCAAGATAGGTTTTTAAAATAACAGAAATTCATTTAAAACCGAACCGAAGTTCAAAATGTGCACTTAACCAAATTTTAACATAAATTTCCATAATCACCATAATTCTTCTATATACAGTCTAACTTTCCTAATTCAACTTTGCCTAACTCAAATCATTTCTAAGTTGATCATATTTTACAGGTTTTATCTAATAGTCAAACAATTTTTCAATGCCATTTTGGATTCGACTTAGTCAAGTTCAACTGTATTAAAACCTTTCTTGGTACACTAATTAATGTAATATTTATTTGTATAGTTCCGGTAACCATATTTTATTTGTAAAACCAGTCTGTTGATTGGCACTTTTCTCCTTACTGATCCATTACAAATAAAACACATAAACAGCTGTAGATGTACTTATAATTATGGTTAATCAGCTAAGCATGTGCAACATGAGGTATTGCCTCTTGTAATTGGAGTTCAGTGACTTCAAAAAATATCTGTATATCATAGCCTAGGCCTGAACTGGAATGATGTTCATTTATTGAAAGAATGCCAGATTTTTTTATTTTACCAACACTCAATTTTTACTGGTTGGTCAGTTATTTTTACTGGTAAAATTGACGACTAAAACGGCTTTGCCTCTGCCTTTGTAAATTCATATTAAAATTCAAGTTTCACAAAATTCTGATTACCACCCTCTATTGTAAATAATTTGATATTTAATACTTCCAAAAATAGGTTGTAAACATATTAGAAATTTATAATATTGAATTTATTTTTACAAATCATGGGCAAAGGAGTGTGACTGGGGATATCCTTCCACCCCGTTCCCCCTTTCTCCCCCCCACCTCCCCCAGTGATGGCAAATTAGTTCCATTAGGTGGGTTAAAATGCTAAAAGTGAACATTAAGTCTTCATTGGAAAAGGTATTTAGCTCTGGGTGTCTAGAAATCTCAGATCTAGAAAACAGTGGCAGATCTAGTGTTGGGGTTGGGGAGGGGAGTGAATAGGGTGGCTAGCTACACCTCTTCATTTACCGTGAAAAAAGAATAATGGTCACTCGTCTTGTGTGTGTGCTTCTCGTGTACTCTGGTATAACATGAGCTGTCCGACAGGCGGGACTTGAACTCTTAGGACCAAGCTGGAGTAAGGGTTTGAGAAGGTGTTTCCCCTCTCAAATGAGATTTTTTTTAAAAATAGGAACCTCTGGATGGCCAGAAATGACACTCTCAGACTGTGACAATTTCTGTATTAATAAACCTCTTGTACATAGCTACCTCAAAGTTTCAGTTAAAATGTACCTGGTGTAATGGTATGATCTGTTAATCTAAATATACAATGAGTTTTCTAATTCTAGAAAACTCATTTATCTGAGTTTTCAACCAATTAGTTCCACATTATCAATTTTCATACCCTCCCCCCTCCCCACCCAAAGCCAGCCTTTGCTTCTGCAAAGATTGTATTTAAACCATCTACTGTATATCTTCAGAACATCTACATTCAGAGCTATCTGAAGTTACAGCAGGGGTGGCTCGCCAGCGGGAGAAGGAGCTCATCAGTGGAGCCTGGCGCACCCCTCCGATTGGGAAGGAAACTGCAATTTGTGTGGGAGAAAAAAAATTAAATGTATTTCCTAGATATTAGTATCTATAAAATCATTTAATTAAAGCCTTTGAAACCCCTAAATTGTCATAATTTTGAAAAGTAGTCCATGGAACGAAGCTGCTAAAAGGTACACTATTCTACTATGGGTCAATTTTTTTTTCTTTTTTAACAGTGTAACACTTAAAGCGCTCTGATGGCTATATAAATGTCGCATTATTATTATTATTATTATTAATATTATTATTTTGCTCGGAAAATTTCTAGTTGGTTGGTTAGGTACAACAGTGTTCTCCCAACTGAAAAATTTTTACTGGTAAATTTGTCCATAAAAAATTGCAATGCGCACAATGTGAGGTACGTTACCCCTTTTTAGTTGGGTTAAATGACTTGAAGACACAACAACACATATTCATAGTGTAGATATAGACTGGAATGATGTTAATTTATTAAGAGGGCCAGCCTGGACTACCTAAGCCTAATCAATAGTTTTTTTT